CAACCCCCACCTCTGGAATCCTAGACTGGATGTTTGACCTTTTTAAGACTATGTATTCTTCCAGTACATGTTCTCAAGTCCATGTGTGGGATGAAGTTCCCAGCTTTATTTGGTCATCTGTGTTTTTTTTGTATAGAGTTGAGGCCTCATTTTTGTGGTGGTTTAGCTGCAGGTATGTCTGTGAACCGTGTGCGTGCAGTGCCCAAGGAGGCTGGAATAGGGATTGGATTCCCTAAAACTGGAGAAACTCATGTCGTGAGCTAACATGTGGGTTTTGATAGTAGAACCCAGGTCCTCTGGTAAAGCAGTCAGCGCTCTTATCTCCAGCGTTGATTTCAAATTTTTACTAGTGTAGCTTCATCTCATAAATATGCCATTTTTCATGTATGAGCTCTATTATAATATCAGTTAGCAATGCTGCTTCAATGGGGAAAGCACTATTTAATTGCACTAATAGCACTTCAGTGTGTCATTGTTTTGTTTCTTATTAATAATATTTTATTAGTTCTTTGAGGATATAATACATTGTTGATCATATTGCTTCCCCATCCCCTCCCAAAACCACTTCACTTCCTTTCCTTACCAACGCAACCTTGTATTCATTCTCCTTCTCTCTCTCTCTCTCTCTCTCTCTCTCTCTCTCTCTCTCTCTCTCTCTTAACCTAACCTATCAAATTCAATTTGTGTTGTCCATATATTATTGGGTATGTGGCTTGCCCTGGAGCCACACTCCCAGGAAAAAGACTGATGCTCACTCTCCTAGCAGCTTACCAGTTGCCAATAACTCCTCAGCTAGAGGTAAGACTTCATGCCCAACTGCTCTCTCCATGCTAAAATTTTATCCGAGTTGAGCTTACATAGGTCTTATCATAACTACAGTGAGTTCATACGTGTAGCTTCACTGTTGTGTCCAGAAAATCCTGTTTCCTTATAGTCATCCACTGTCTCTGGCTCTTACAATCTTTCTATTCCCTTTTCTGTAAGTTTTGATTCTTTTATACTCTGTTCTTGCATTGGTCCTACTTACATTATGGCCTGCCTTGTGATTGCTTGAATATTTTTGTGATAGAGTCATCATTCTTGTATTTTAAATACAGAAAAAAAAGTGAGTTCTGAGTAAATACCTGCACTTGGCTTATTGAACAGACTCATCTTGATGTAGGCCCCTAAGACTGTGTTTCTCACAGTTGATGAACATGATCAAATATATCAATGATCAATCTTTATTGGTTTTGGCTTACACAATTAATATTTACAAGCAAATGGATGCTTCTTACAGAAACATTCCATTGAAAGCATAATTATAAGTTATGAAAAGCAAATTAAATACCTAACTTAGAAAATAAAATAGGGTCTCACTGGGGAGCTCATAGCTCTGGCTGGCCTGGAACTCAGTATGTAGATCAGACTAGCCTCTGACTCACAGAATTCCACCTTCCTCTGCCTTCTCAGGTTTGAGGTTAAAGATGTACCCCACGATGCCCTGCTTTTAAATACACAACATAACGAAAAAGTCCAGTAACTAGCAATCCTGAAAGCTTGTTGAATACATGCACTCTGATAATACACAGCCACTTCCTTGTCAGCACCTTGTCCTTTACCAAGCTTGAATTCAGAAACATGTAACCACTCCATGTTCAATGTTCAACTCTTTTCCTAATATTCATACATGATATCTTAGTAGTGCTAACCTTCTAGAATAAAAAAAGGAAATTATCTCTTGGGCTTCTCATATAGCCAGAATCTGTTCATTGCAATCCTTTATAAAATTACAGCATATAAGCCATTATCTTTTTATAGTTCTTTGTCTAGGAGTGGGACCCTGTGAAATTTTATACCTTCCACATTAATGTGTCTATTGACTTTGCCACTATTACAGACTTGGTTATGCAGCTAATTTGAGGACAGAATATTCCTTCCTGGTATTCTGGCCCTTACCATTTTTCCCCTCCCTCTTCCATGGTGTTCCCTAAGCCATAGATTCAGGACATGCCTCTCCCAGGCATGAGCCCCTTACTGGTTGTCCAATACAAAGTGGTCAGCCCTAAAAATTTATACACACAAATAATAGAAATGATCTGTTTACTTTTATGTAACTGTGTATACAACATGCATTAATATAAGCATGTAGTAATAATAACCAAAGAGAAAAACGCTATCAATTGAGAGTGGGGAGGCATGCTAAGTGTTGGAGGGTGGGAACATAGGAAGGACTGAAGGAGGTAAAGGGAAAGGGGAAAGTGATGTGATTCTTATTTAAAACAATTTAAAATAAAACAAAATTATGTAATGAACTACAGTGTATCAGTTGACAATAAGTCCAGAGGGATTAATATCTATAGATGGAGATGGTTGAGATACATATGATGTGGTATCTGAAGCCCTTGCCTCATCTTCTCATGCAGGATTCCCCTGCTCAGGAATCAGTCACTGATAGGATGAGGGACAGAGACATGGCTATAGGAATCATCTTCTTAATACAAACTTTGGCTGGAATTTCAGGCAATTCCTACCTTGTGTATAATTACCTGCTGCATCATTTCAAGGAGCACCAACTAAAGGCCAAGGACTTGATTCTGGTGCATTTAACTTTAGCCAGTTTCTTAACTCTCTTCTGTAAAGGAGTGCCCCAGACAATGTCAGCTTTTGGTGTCAAGTGTTTCCCCAGTGATTCTGGGAACAAGCTGTTTTTTTTACCTTCACAGAGTTGGCCAAGGTGTATCATTTAGCAGTACCTTCTTATCAAGTGTCTTCCAGGCCATCACCATCAGACCAAGGCATTCCAGTTGGGCAGGAATTAAAATTAAAGCTCCCCAATTCATTTCCCCCTTCATATACTTGACTTAGATCCTGTCCCTCCTGGTAAACACTGATATACTTGAGCACATGACTGGTAGCTTGTGCAATACAAACATCACTCATCTAAAGGATTTGAAATGCCATTCTTCTTTTCCTTGGGAGGAAAGTGGTGTAATGTTGCATGTGATCTACATAACCCTTTCTGATGCTGTGTGCATGGTGCTCATGCTATGGGCCAGCAGTTCCATGGTTCTCCTCCTGCGCAGATCCTCCCCTGAGAGCAGAGCTACCGAAACCATCTTCTCCTGCTGAGCACCTTTGTCTTCTTTTACACACTCTCCTCCCTCTTTACCATCTATTTAACATTTCTGCTTGATCCTGGTTGGTTGATTGTAAATGCCACTGGAATACTCTCCATGTGTTTTCCCTGTCTCAGCCCCTTTCTGCTCATGAGACATAGCTTCAGTTCATCCATACTTTGCTGTACTTGGATAAAGAATAGAAAAATCCTCCCTAATTTCATAACAAACATGAGAATAAAGTTTGAAGAATTCTCATTTGTTTTCAGTCCTGTCTACAGAAGTTTAATCACAAATAAGCAATCCTAACATCCATGAGTGGTGATTTCTACAAAGAAATATTTATGTTAAATACACCTGTGTATGAATACACAGGTGTATATGTCTGTGCATGAATGCATGAGCATGTATTCACTCAGATGTTTATTTTCCATATAGAAATATTATGTGAAAATTAAGTGTAACATACATGCATTTCAAAGGAAAATGAAAAAGTGTGAATTTTAGCCGGGCGGTGGTGGCACACGCCTTTAATCCCAGCACTTGGGAGGCAGAGGCAGGCGGATCTCTGTGAGTTCGAGGCCAGCCTGGGCTACCAAGTGAGTTCCAGGAAAGGCGCAAAACTACACAAGAGAAACCCTGTCTTGAAAAACCAAAAAAAAAAAAAAAAAAAAAAAAAAAAAAAGTGTGAATTTTAGACTTCAAAAGAATGCTAATTATAACCTTGACAAAGTATATTAAAAATACTTCATTATTTTATGTGTATGGCTGTTTTGTCTGTTATGGGTATCTGCACACTACATTTGTGCCTGGTGTCTGAAAAGAGAGCTAGGTCCACTGGAACTAGTCCTCAGCTTCCATGTGGGTTCTGGAAATGGAACCCAGGTCCTCTGCAAATCATGAAAACTTAGGCACAGAGTATTTCAACTCAACAACTGAAATGAGTTTGATATTTTCATGAAACGGTGCATGCATTTGGTAAGCACTGACCAATTTTAAACATCCATGCCCAAGTCAGACATACCTTGATCAGTAAAATCCCCTGCCTGAACTCCTCTCTGCATGCAACTCCTATATTGAAAATGAATACTGCAGTATCAAAAGGCATCTGCCATACTAAGGGTGGTAACTACTGTGACATCTCACACTATAGATTGGCTCCTCATTTTTTACTTTATATAAACCGTATCATTCAATGTGAAGTCTTTTACATTTGGCTTTTAAAATTCCATGTGCTTTAATTTTTTTCTATACTTTCCTATATTGGTTACAGAATTCAACTACATAAATATAAAATTACTTTAATGTTACTCTATTTAGGCTCATGTGCTATGGTTGAGACATGATTTGAGTTTCTCCAGAAAGTTCCATTTGTTAAAACTTTTGTCACCAGAATAAAGATACTGGTTTGGGGCAGCTTTTAGGAGGAAAACAATAAGAAAAAATGGCTATGTCCTGGATGGGATTAACACTGGTCCCCTGGTTTGCATGAACTTTCACAATAATGAATTGTTGAGAAATAGATTTTGGTGTTTGATTCCCTTTGGTGCTTTGATTCTATGAGTTCCACTGATTTTTGCCATTGTTGTAACATGGATTTGAAGATGTCCTCCTGTAAGATGCTAGTTTCCCCTATAAAGTGCTCAGAAGCAGGCATTTGGTTTTGAAAACAGAAATGGAACATACACTATTTTCAAATTGGAGAATCGTAAGTGTTGTGTTTTTCAAAGTGCATGATGGTACTGGTGTAGATTTATGCTTGGCATGTAAGTGTGGCTGCACTTAAAGGATCACAGATTTTTCTGGATTTCAGATGTAGAGCCAAACAGCCCCGAGAGAAAACATCATTGATTTCCACCATGGAAATACTCTTTTTTTTTTCTTTTTTCTTTTTTTTTTACATTTGGCCATACTTTTATTTACTACATATACTATAAACATATACAATACATGCTACAAAAAAAACCACATTTTTAAAAATTTAACTGTCAAGAAAGTGTATAGTGTTATAATACAATGGCACATGTTCATATTTTATTTCAAATTGGTTTGCTTATCACCCATTTCAAACCATTAATAGTGAAATGTTACTTGTGGAAAATTAAAATTATCTATTTGCATTATTAATAAACAATTCCAACAAATTAATAAGAATTAACCATGTCAAATATTAGTATCCAAAAATGGGCTCTTGCAGAAGTGATTATATAAAACATAGCAGCCAATTTCAGTTTATTTTGCTCTGTGACAATGTACATATGCACTTGGCTAGGATTCTAGCACTTGCTATTTTTGGAAGATATTTGTAAGAAGTCCTTTGATTTCTTGAGGTCCAATAACTGCTACACCCAGCCAAATTCAACCAACGGTTCGTGTAATGGCTCTGAACATTAGTCACTGAGGAGTTCTTCTGATCCCATCAACACCACACACAATGCAGACAGTACAAGCCAGCATCAAAGGCAAAGAAAATACAAACATTCAAATCAACTGTGACAAGGATTTTCTACAAGTAATTAAGATGCCATAATTTCAGGGACAGATTTTTTTTTAATTTAATTAATTTATTTATTTGTTTTTTGAGACAAGGTCTCACTTTGGAACTCTGACTGTCCTAGAAGTAGCTCTGTAGACCAGGCTGGCCTCTAACTCAAAGACCCACCTGCCTCTGAGTGCTAGGACTAAAGGCGTGTGCCACTATGCCTGGCTTAGGAAAACAAGATTTACTGTGCACTGGGATTTACAGTATCTATCTATACTAACTGAAAACTGAACCAAGTAGTCAGGTGGAATATGTCACATACTGCAGATCTGCCACTCAACATCATTGAGCACCTACTATGTACTTAGCACTGTGCCAACATCTCCAAAGTTGAGTTTTAATGTCTTTATCAAGCTTTTACTTTAGAGTGAGGTAAAAATGTATTACATTAGCATCATTAGTTTGCCTGTGGTAATGTATGCAATCCTATGCCAACTGGTATCCCTGGTCATGTAACAAGCTTCTGCACTCTGCTCACTCTTTCATACAAAATTTCTACACACATGTGCTAAGCAATGTGCTAGTCACTGCAATACCATGATTTGGTGTATGTTCAAAGAATGCAAGTTCATCATATTAATCTATACAGGACAACTAAGAAGGTACATTATTTTTCTAAAATGAAGTTCAAAGCAACGTATAAGGTATTTCTATTGGTCATACCACACCAGAGACCAGCAAGTGTCTTTAGCACCCAAAAGTCTCATGTTACAGTCTAAAGAAACCCTAAACCATTTGTGGCCTCACAGGCCTATTCTCTGGAGCATCTGACCCCACATAAATCATTCTATACTTTAAAGGGTTTATAAACTAAATCTGGACAAAAGGAAAACCCAAATGAAGGCAATTTATAATGTAATGTACTTCAAGGACTATTTTGACCATGTAAAATGATACATAAGGAATTTATGACTGGCACAGTTTTCAAAGTACTAATCCTACCCCAATGCATAGAATTCTAATCTGCCTTTTATACAACTTGCACATGATGCAGAGGGCAGAGTTTGGTCCCTGATACCTTCTACAGGATACAATATGGGATTGGTCCTTCCACTCCAAGTAGAATCTGAGAACTCCTAAGTATCCCATTAGGATACTAGTAATCAGGAGAAATGGCCCTGCCGGATCCGTCCCATCAGCAAGGAGTCTCTTAGCTGTGGTAGCAGTGTGAACCTATGATGCCCCCTTGGGGGAAGGCAGAAAGCTGGGAGTTTCTCCACTGAGTGAATCCAATACTGGCTTAAAGCTATGCACTGAATAAAGTGCTCTGCACATCCTGCTTCTCATCTGGAATGAAGATATTCACTATCCAAAAATCAGGCCACTTACAGGTACAGGGGAAGAGAGTAACAAGGAAAGAATCCAAGAAAAAGTATGAAGCATTGATTGGGAAGGAAGACAAATGACTCTAGTAGTGTTCTCAGAATCCTCAGGATTTGAAATGTCAGAATGAGTCATACAATGGTCATGGTCCATAAATGCAAATGCAATCCCACTGGGTAATATTCACACAGTGCATGATTACTTCATGGGAGTGGGAGGGAACAGTCTGCTGCCTTTTGATAGTATGGTTTCAGAATGAAAACAGAACCACTGAAGAAATCAGGGTAAGCAGTGTGTAACATTCTTTTCCTGACCATCAGTTTTCCACAGGTTGATCTATACTGCCAAAGAGAAAGGAGGCAAGGTATTTACCTCTTCTCATACACGCATGGCCACTACCACCAAAAATTGCCAATTCAGAAGTTAACCACACAAGCCCTCCAGTTTCGTACCCTGAATATGGTAAATACGAGTAAGAATGGAGTAATTCAGTCTTTAAAAAGATCACAGGTAACAGAATGCTTATATAAACTAGACTGCTTTTGACACCTGTAAGAAAATTGTATAGATGGCAATTGGGGGGAAAACCAGATTGTTCCCATCTGTCAGCCAACTGTTGAGCTATACTCAGCTGAAGTCCTCATCAGGATTCTGTTGATCCAGCAGACGGACATGTGTGAATGGGAAGTGACCACGTTTGCCATTACACTCCCCTTCCCACTGACCACTCACATTAATCTTCGTAACCTTTACCAGCTCACCGACCT